ATTTAGTATGACTGTTATATTATATTATATTATATTATATTATATTATATTATATTATATTATATTATATTAATCCATCAATGAATTCAACGACAGGAAGTGAGATGGTATCTTTGCAGCTTTGGCTGTTGAAATGAAACTGGCTATGAATCATTGTTAGGGCTGCAACTAATGATTATTTTGATAATTGATTAGTTGGTCGATTATTTTTTCTCTCGATTAATCGGTAAAAAAAAATATTTTTTTCTTTATTTTATTGACAAAAAACACACTATTCCACATTTTGCTCAATGTCCTTCAAACAAACGTGCCAACTGAATGCTATGAAAACATACAGTGCTTAACATTTTATTAGGCCACCTGCCATAATAAAGAGAAAACACATTTTAGGAATCTGTCAAAATTGTTTAAATCAAAAAATGTTATTGTCATCTATTGGGCAAATAAACTTAAACAACTAAATAGTATTTATTCACATAACAAAAATGGCCTCCTATGCCCTTCATAACAGCTTGCATTCTTGCTGGCATTGTTTATGTACTTTTTGACTGTAATTGGTATCTGAAAAAAAAACACTATAAAGCTCTCTGCCTTTCTTTCATAGATAACAGCAATAATTAGGCCTATGTTATAGTATTAGAAACAGCCTGTTACTAAAGAGATTACACATATTGGAGGACTAACCAATACAGAAAGCTAAAAAATGATTTTGGTAATCACCAGTACTGTTAGTTTAGAGCAGCAGTGGCACAAACCATAATTTAAAAATGATTTTGGTAATCACCAATACTGTTAGTTTAGAGCAGCAGTGGCACAAACCATAATTTGTTAAAAACCTTGCATAATTTTTTTAAATAAATTTAAGCATTGTATATGGTGAATATAGTTTAAAACTCTGCATTAAAAATTAAAATTATAATAAAGATAATAAAGACGAATAAAATCACAAACTCAGTTGTAACCAATAGGTAAGAGTAATGCTCTGCAGGAACACACGTTCACTTTGACTGCCTTACTGTCATTTCTTTATCCTGTTAAAGGAGGTTATGAAGAGTCTGATATTTATATTCAGACAATTACACGCTGTTATCCCCTTACAGTTGCTACTCTCATAAAATACTCGCAATGCATGTTGACCTTTAAACCTCGATTTAATTTTCAACAACAGATATTTCAGCACAATTAATGTTTTTGCGCTGATTATTAATTGTCTCTGTTTTCCGTCTGTCTGACGCACGTGCACGTAAAGATTAAAACTTAACACAGACTGTCAGGACGGACGTTTATGCAAAAATGGAAAGGCTCACGTGAATTTGTGACATTTATACATAAGGATATGACCGTTAACTGAAAGTTTTTGCGCTGAGGACGCACACGCATCATCTGTCAAAGCGCCTGACAGGGCAAGCCATTACGCTAATGCATTAGCTTAAAGCTTAAAATAAAGAATTCTCATGTTTTGGGCAGCTTAGATCACGTAACTCTCCCGCAGCATCTCATTCTGTTTCCTCCACTATTTTTAGATGTATTTTGTCCATAGAAATGCGTAATTCAGTGCTGTAATTTGACGCGACCGGCTGAAGTTGGACGTGCACTGTGTGCAGACCCAACTAATCGATAATGAGAATCGTTGTCAATGATTTTCATTATTGATCATAATCGATTTTATCGATTAGTTGTTGCAGCCCTAATCATTGTACAAGCCCAGTTTTGGTGACAGCGCCACCTATTGGCCAGAATGCAAAAGTTTCTGTCGCAAAAACTTCATGTATTTCTGAGGTCCCACTTTGTGCTATTTTGGACCAGTTTTGCATATGGTTTTGTTTGTTTCGCTTTTCCTCTTTCAGTGTTGGTTGAATCTTCACCAAAATTGGTTCAGGTCAGACACAGACAAAGACAAAACCACACAAATACAATTACTGGATTTTATTCTCCAGAAAAGCCTTAACAGTTTTGCTGGCGAAGACGCCAAACAGGAAGTGAGTCATTACCTTGGCAAAGCTTTTGCGTATTGACATGCAGTTTTTCTTTGTATCAACGCCACATTGCCCTGAGAACATCGTGCACATTTCTAGTGCCACCTACTGGTCAAAAGTTATAAACCAGACAAATCTGCTCAATCATTCAGTATCCCATTGGAGTTTGGCCATGTAGCTGCTACTTGCAGCTGTATTTTTATTTATTCCTTACATGACAAGTTCCCAGATGAAAGTGTCGTTGAAGCCGATCGATGTTCACATTTCTGGCTTGTTTCAGTCGACTGATTCTGATGACTGTCTTTGTGATTTTTCGTAATAGGCATTTGAGACCAAAAAGCCCACAAAGAACCAGAGGAGCCGCAGTACGGTGATCTACAGCTTTGCGGGGAACCAGCAGCGCAATCGCTGCAGCACCTTCCGCGTCCGGCGCAGTCAGACCATCTACTGGAAAGAAGGGCTGCTAGTCACCTTTGACGGCGGATATCTGAGGTTAGAAAGGGTTTGTTTTTATTTTTGAGAAATGTTGGTATTTAATGAATAAATATATTTATCTACATTTCTCTTACTACTTAACCCTCTGGTCCTCTTCGTTTGGGAGTCACACTTGGCTCCTTCGCTGTCAAAAGTGACCGAAGCCTTGAAATGTAACTTGTTTTTTTTTTCAAGAAAATCAATTTAATACATTTTTAATAATATTTTTTTGATTATTATTTAGAATTTTGAGGGGATTTTAAGATATTATGCAAGATATTCCCCACAAGAATTCATATATTTTTATTTAATTATTTAATTATAATTTTTCTATACATGGATTCCCATTGTTTTTTAGACATACTTTCTTCATTTTATTAGGTTTTGCTTTTAAATATATATTTAGACATTCAAAAAGACTACTTTGTCAAAGTTTAGATTAGGGCTGCACGATAAATCGCATGCGATACTGACTAGATGCTCATTAAATATCGCATACGATTTATTGTGCAGCCCTAGTTTAGATATTTTTGGTTAGATAAATATCAGGTTTTGCATTATGATTACAATCAAACCTTGTATGTGTGTGTGTGGTGTGTTGTGGGGGGGGGGGGGGGGGTCTATTTTTCACTCTTTATATTTTAGAGTGTCAACCCTTGATTGCTGTGCACTTTTTTTCTGCACAGTGGCTGATTTGTAGCTTGTACCACCAAAAGATTCTCTGAGTTGTATTTTTTAGTATTTCCCATTCATTTCCTATGTCGGTCATTTTTGACCGGGAAGGAGCCAAGTGTGACTCTTTTTTTGACCCTTTAACATATCCGAATCATTTCCATGATTTTTTTTGTGTGTTCACATAGCTAATGCAACAAAAGTCACCAAGTGTCATCTCATTCTGATTTTTAAAATTTCAAAATATAAAATTTTTCGGTCAAAAATGGCCGAAGAGGCCCAGAGGGTTTCACCCAGTGTTGTTAGTGTTAGCTAAAACTGTGTTTTTGTTATTTTTATATAAAAAAATATTAGATGGAAAAACTTCTATTTCAATGAAAAATAGAGATGTTGCTTTGACAGCTAGCTGAAATAAAGTAATAAAAGTAGTAAAGTAAAATTTTGTAAAACTGAAATGAAAATAAAGTTAAATATAAACAAAACATAAATATAAAGAAGTAATACAAATTACAAAAGCACAACATATTTACTAGTACTTAAACTTAAATTAAGATGAAAACAAAAAAATAAATAAAAGCTAATTCAAAATATAAAAAAATAGAGTAAAAGTATATAAATAATATAATTGTATACAGCATTTGGACATATGTTTTGCTGCGAGTTTGCATAGAGTTTGCTGCAAAGCATTATGGGATTGCCTCCTCTGCAAAAGGTACATGTGTTTTAAAAATTTGTTTATAAGTTGTTTGTTTATAAGAAAACGAGTTATCTTATGCCTTAGGTGTGTAGACAATTTGTCGTCTTACTGTTATTTGTGATAATAGATCAATCTTCTTTGAACCATAAACAGAACCATTAGCAGCACCAAAAGTCACAGAAATAATTTGGTTCATTTGGCGATCAGTTTTCAACAACAACAATAATAAAAAATTATTACTAAATAAACAATTAATAAGCAATAATAATGAACAATAATAATTGATGATGAACAGTAATAATTTATAAATATAAATTAATTACTACTGTATGCCATTTTCTGAGAAAATACATAAATATTTATATTGAGTCTTGTCAAAAGGCTGAAAAATAAACAAACAAAAAATGAATGAATTTATGGTTAATAATAATAATAATAACCCATTTAAAAATAAATAAAAATAACTGAATAGATTAAAAAAGCACTTAACAAAGTTACTAAAATTAAAATGAAAACTGAAAATGTAAAAATAAAATTAATTCAAATATTACTAAAAACTATAATAGCAACACTTACAAGAAAAAACTGACACTGTTTCTCGTCCACAGCGTCGAGTCGTCTGACCTGAACTGGAAGAAAAAGAAAAGCGGAGGCATCAAGATTATCTGCCAGTCGGAGACGAGGGATTTCTCAGCGATGGCTTTCATCACAGATCACGTTAACGCTCTCATAGAGCAGTGGTTTCCTGGTGAGGACGCCTCTAGATATTATTCTGAATCACTACAGATCTCTGATGTATTAAATCTCGTGCACAGGTCTGTACAGTAGCTTGGATTTGTGGGTGTAATGCAGACGTTCCCAGTGAATGCATGAACTGATCAAACATTTACCTTCAATGCAGCGCAAGTTACTTTGGAGCAAAGCATCTGCAAAATGCATAAATGTATAAAATGGCAGCAGCAATAGGATATAACACAGACAGAGATTACTTTTATTAATAATAATTCTTCCATGTATAGTATTCTTGAGTGTGAGTATTCTTCCATGCATAGCTGTGGGCTATTTACATTGCAACTTGCAACATTAATACAGAATGTGCATCACGTTTTTATTTTTAATTTTTTGGCATTTAGACATCTTCAAATGGGGAATTTAGAGCCTTAACTATTTGTTTTATAGTTGTGTGTCTGTGTGTGTGTCTATATATGTATATATATGTATGTATATACATATATGTGACCCTGGACCACAAAACCAGTCTTAAGTGTCAATTTTTCAAAATTGAGATTTATACATCATCTGAAAGCTGAATAAACCAGTGGAGAAGGCTCACGAGCACATCTTTGGCATGGTGCTTATGAACGACTGGAGTGGTGAGAGCTAACTTTTGCAATGCATGTTCTTAAAAATCAACTTATAAGATGTTATATAAGCTTATATAAGCTATTTGCTGCAAAACAAGTGTGAAAAATGTGACCCTGGACCACAAAACCAGTCATAAGGGTCAATTTTTCGAAATTGAGATTTATACAACATCAGAAAGCTGAATAAATAAGCTTTCCATTGATGTATGGTTTGTTAGGATAGGACAATATTTGGCCGAGATACAACTACATAAACAAACAAAAAAATTGTTGCTTGAAATTAAAATATTAACTAGGCAATGCCAAATTTCTCATTTAATTTAGTTTAATATTGTTTAATTTATTTAGTTTGTTACCTGATGTACTAAAATAATTACAAATGAAATAAAAATGAATAAAAAAAGACATATATAAATAAATAAAAATAACTATTAAAAATGACCAAAATACACAACAAAATTACTAAAACATTAACTTAAAAAAAACAAAAAAAAGATAAAAAAAACTACAATAATATGTCAATGCTACTAAAATAACACGTGTAGTCATAAGCTGGAGGTCCAACAGAAAACAAAATGATTAAAATAGTGTCATAAAGAGGGTGTCAAAGTGATAATATCTTGACAAACCGTCACCGTAGGGTATTAATGTGGACATGCTGCTGTTTGTTTCTGTGCGGTGTTAATGTTGCACTGTGGGAGTTTGCTGTGTGTCAGTGCAGAGCCGCTTCCCAGTATTAACATGCTGTCAGTCAGCAACACAGGTGCAGCACAAACACACGCTGAACTCTATAGATGGCCTCATGAGTCAGACTGTAGTTTATACAGCAGCACTGATTGATTCATTAGTCCTCATAAAGCCTGTTAATTACAGCAGACGCATCAGCACACACCTGCTCCATTCAGCCGTTACACATGTGACACTCAGCTCAATTGTTTGTGGGTAAACAAACTCACTGCTTTGTGAGATTATTAACACACATATGTGATGCTGATTGTATGCGTGTTCTAATCATGAGATTTTTCAGCCTTTTGACAACACTGAGCTAGGGGTGCGCCGATCCGACATTCAGTATCGGTATCGGCTCCGATACTGGCATTTTCTGGGGTATCGGTCAGACAAGACCGATCCAAATCTGATATTGTGCATACACTATTCTGTGTTATTGTTAAGCCACATGAAAGCCACAAAAACATCGTAAAGCACAATAAAATTTTCATGCACTATACTCCAAGTGTTCTGAAGCTGCTGCACAGTTTAATATGAGGTACAGATGAATATTTAAGTCAAGTTCACGTAAACTTATCTCTCCGCTGCGGCTGTCTGTCATCCTCCATTCAGCGTTCGAACTGCGCATCGCATTCGGTTACGACAGACGATGAAACTATCTCCAAGATGATTTAGTGTTCCTAATATTATACATGAAATTATTTAAAAAGGTGGTTTATTTATCTATTTACTTATTTATTTTTAATTGTTTATTATTATTATAGATTTATTTATTTTTCAGCCTTTTTGACAACACAATATACAGCTCGATATTTATGTATTTGCTCAGGAATGGCCTAAAAGGGTGATTTGTGTGTTTATTTATTTGTTTTTAATTGTTTATTATTATAGCTTTGTTTTATTTTTCAGCACTCAATATACATCTTGGTTATCAATTTGCTCAGAAATAACTTAAATTGGTGATGTATTTATTTATGTATGTATTAATTATTATTATTATAAATTTTTTTTTATTTGACAACACTGAATATACAGTTCGATATGTATGTATTTGTTAAGGAGTGGCTTAAAAGGGTGATTTGTGTATATTTTTTTGTTTTTAATTGTTTATTGTTATTATATATATTATATTATTTATATTATTTTTCAGCACTCGATATACATCTTAGTTATTCATTTGCGCAGAAATTACTTAAATTAGTGATTTATTTATCATTTTTATTATTATATTTATTTTTTCAGCTTTTTGACAACGCTGAATATACAGCTCAATATTTATCTATTTGCTCAGAAAGTGCTTTTTTTATTGTTGTTTATTTTTCAGCCTTTTGACAACACTGTGTGTCTTCATGTATTTGTCTGTATGTATTCTATTCTATTCTATTCTATTATATTTAGAGGAACCATCATTTCAGCTGAACAGCTATTGTAGAAAAAGTGGATTCAGTTTAGTTTTTAAATCTTTCGACATTTTCATTAAGCCTTGATTAATGTCTTTTTATATAAAGATGAACATCCGTGTACAGACGTTTATGATTAACATGCACATGCTGCTCTCTCCCGGTCCAGCGCTGACGGGCAGTGAGAGCGACGGCTCTCGTCTCATTGAGCAGTACGCACCCTGTCCGTACTGCAGCTCCGGACCCCGAGTGTCCGACCCGCTGCCTCTGTCCCGCTCCAGTCACAGCACCGTCCACTACTTCAACATGGAGGACTGCGTGCTGGCAGCCGTGGACAAGGAGCACATCACCTGCCCCAACCACCCCAAACAGCCCGTCCCGCTACAGGAGCTGGTGCCCGAGCTCTTCATGACCGACTTCCCTTCACGGTATGATAACAGTTACGCTTTTAACCATCTGATGTATGTTCTTATACTAGTTTCTGTATGAAATGGTGTGTATAAAGTGAAAAAAACAGCTAAAAACCACAAAACAAAATCACAGACTTAAAATATATATATACATATATTAGATGCAGTAGTAATAATCTTTTTGTTTGCATCTAGTTCCAATTTAAAAAAAAAAAAACTATCAAATTAATCTTTATTTCATCATACCAATTTCCAGATTAAAGGCACAATATGTAATTGAAACATTTGGGATAATGTAAGTACACAAGTCAGCAAAATATATAACACTGTTCTAGTGGTTTTTGGATATTTTAATAAAAAAAATCTTACATATTGTGCCTTTAAATGGTTTAATGTGACACAAACCAGCAAAAAAAAAAACACAACATCACAGGATTCATCAAATTCAAGTCTAAAGCTGATGTTATTGTGGTTTTTCCTACCAAAATGATGTAATTTCCTGGAGGCGCCAGCGCGATCACTTGCATTTTTTCTTATAACAGTGGAAACAACTTAAAATACGCCATAATTTTTGCTCATAAAGGTAAGAGTAGTACATCATTCGGAACTGCAAAGGGTCTACTTTTATTTGTGTGCACTCACAATGTCAGCAAAGCGTTGTGCTTTTTTAGAAAACAAACAGCACTTTCTGCCGTCTCTGTCTCTCTGAACAGGAGCGCTTCACAAAAATAAACGGAAACTCAGCAAATACTTGCCTCATAGACATGATAAATATATCTAGAAAGTAGTGCTGGGTGGTATGACCAAAAATTTATATCACGGTATTTTTCAAAATTATACCGGTTTCATGGTATATGATGGTATTTATTTTTTTCATGCATGACTGGGTGTTAACCACATTTTCTACTGACTGAGAGAGGAAATACTGCAGTAGATTGACTTATAATGTCCTATTTTACTGTCATGAGTGAATATTGTAGAAAAATTCCACACTGAATAGTGACTAAACACGACCCATTAATACATGTTAACCAGGAGTCAGTTTCCAAACCAAATTAAAATCCTGCATTTAACGGAGTTAAATAAATTATAATATTCAGTGATGTGATATGTTCTCTGTGTGGACTGTAGGCTACTTATTACTAAAACAAATATAAAGCAAACAATTAGCATTAATAGTCATTCATTTTAGTTGACATATGCTATGATAATTTGAACAGGTTTTTTATTGTAAAATAATGGAACATTAGGTCATGAATATTGTCCCAAAAATCATGGAAAAGTCAATATGGTCCTAATAACCAGCGCTCACATGGGTTTAATGGAGCTGAATCAGAGTGGTTTAGGCTTGAGTTCTAGCACACATACAAACAAGTGCTCTCGTCTCGGCATGATGTGTGTGTTTTCTGTGTGGTTGTGGTTCATCACATAAATTGGATTATTAATTCTGAAGTTAAAATGGAAGCAGAATCTGCAGGTTTGGTCTTTGAGCCACGTCAAACACATCTCATTGAAGAGGTTCCTCTGCGACACAGGCCTGAAGTACAGTCCCGCTGGGACGTCATACTTTATATCGGTGTTGAAAATCACATCATGAATTGTGAAAAACCTCAAGGTTACTAGATTTGTGCATTTGGCAGAAACTCTCATCAGAAAAGTGACTTACAATACGTTCAAGGTTTAGTTTTGTATGTTTCTTGGGAAATTGAGCTGCAGGCTGTTAAATCCAAAGCAACTCTAGCTGAAACATATTCACATGCCACTTTAATGTGAAAATCCATCAGAAATTAAAAAGATGAATTTGTGATGCCATGAATGTATAGACTGACCAATTTACTATATTGTGATTTACAAAGACATTTTTTAATAATTTGGAATAACATGCGATGATAAATTGTTCCAATTAAGATCAGGAACATGTATTAAGAAAGGGCTGATTTGAGTTTCATGTAGACTTTTATTAGAAAACATTAGAAAACATGTAGTAATATTGTGAGCCAAGTAAACAGCACTTGTAGACTGGAATTTTTTGCTGAATTATTTAAAAAACTCATTTTGGAACAAATTCAACATGACCACCTATTTATTTATTAGTAGTGCTGGGCGGTATGACCAAAAATTTATATCACGGTATTTTTCAAAATTATGCCGGTTTCATGGTATATGATGGTATTTATTTTTTTCATGCATGACTGGGTTTTAACCACATTTTCTACTGACTGAGAGAGGAAATACTGCAGTAGATTGACTTATAATGTCCTATTTTACTGTCATGAGTGAATATTGTAGAAAAATTCCACACTGAATAGTGACTAAACACGACCCATTAATACATGTTAACCAGGAGTCAGTTTCCAAACCAAATTAAAATCCTGCATTTAACGGAGTTAAATAAATTATAATATTCAGTGATGTGATATGTTCTCTGTGTGGACTGTAGGCTACTTATTACTAAAACAAATATAAAGCAAACAATTAGCATTAATAGTCATTCATTTTAGTTGACATATGCTATGATAATTTGAACAGGTTTTTTATTGTAAAATAATGGAACATTAGGTCATGAATATTGTCCCAAAAATCATGGAAAAGTCAATATGGTCCTAATAACCAGCGCTCACATGGGTTTAATGGAGCTGAATCAGAGTGGTTTAGGCTTGAGTTCTAGCACACATACAAACAAGTGCTCTCGTCTCGGCATGATGTGTGTGTTTTCTGTGTGGTTGTGGTTCATCACATAAATTGGATTATTAATTCTGAAGTTAAAATGGAAGCAGAATCTGCAGGTTTGGTCTTTGAGCCACGTCAAACACATCTCATTGAAGAGGTTCCTCTGCGACACAGGCCTGAAGTACAGTCCCGCTGGGACGTCATACTTTATATCGGTGTTGAAAATCACATCATGAATTGTGAAAAACCTCAAGGTTACTAGATTTGTGCATTTGGCAGAAACTCTCATCAGAAAAGTGACTTACAATACGTTCAAGGTTTAGTTTTGTATGTTTCTTGGGAAATTGAGCTGCAGGCTGTTAAATCCAAAGCAACTCTAGCTGAAACATATTCACATGCCACTTTAATGTGAAAATCCATCAGAAATTAAAAAGATGAATTTGTGATGCCATGAATGTATAGACTGACCAATTTACTATATTGTGATTTACAAAGACATTTTTTAATAATTTGGAATAACATGCGATGATAAATTGTTCCAATTAAGATCAGGAACATGTATTAAGAAAGGGCTGATTTGAGTTTCATGTAGACTTTTATTAGAAAACATTAGAAAACATGTAGTAATATTGTGAGCCAAGTAAACAGCACTTGTAGACTGGAATTTTTTGCTGAATTATTTAAAAAACTCATTTTGGAACAAATTCAACATGACCACCTATTTATTTATTTTGGAATCATGCAACCCCATAATTGATTGCAGCAAGCACAAAATGTAGCAGACAGAGTCCAGAAAAATGTTATAAATATTTATACATATAAATGTTATATAAGTATATTAGTATTGGCATTAGTATTATAAGTAATTAAATAATATTTATTAAGTGTTTTTTTTTTGCAATTAGAAAGTGTCAATAGAAATAGTGTCATGCACACACACACACACACATTTATTATTTATAATTATAGTTTAGTTATTATATTTATAATTCTATTATTATTTAAATTAATTATATTATATTAATAGTAATACCAATGCTACAATTTGTATTTAGAATATATTTAGTAGTTATTTATATAATGAAAGAACAAATAAACTAAAAATATTAGCTCATTCAAAATATTAATAAACACTATAACAGTAAATAAATATTAAAAATAACACTGATGTCAGACTTATCAGATATTTGTGTATATGAATAATCGTATCTTTTGAAAAATCATTTTTGAAGTATTTAATTTGCTGTATTGTCCAAAAACAGCCATTCTTTCATGATTGTAACGATTGACTTTTGTTTTTAAAAATGTGAAACTGTTTTTACTCTGTTAAAAGTATTACATATTTGTTATGAAACATAATATCTTTTGGTTTGCATCCATCAAGTTACAAATCAGAGAATAAATCAAATTAGATGAAGGACCATACTTTTATTAAGTGTTTAATTGACTGTATTATCCAAAAAATAGGCATGATTATCATGATGATTAACTCTAATGCTGAATTTCCAAGGAAAACAACTATATTGTGATGAGATTTTGGTCACTCTGCCGATGCATAAATGTTCCGGTTTTTACTTACGGTTTAAGAATAAGATGGAAAATTGCTGATTCAGTTGTTGGTATGAATAAATAAAGTTTATCTGCGAGTAAACAAAAACTGCTGATCACGACAAAACAGGTTAATGCTCATTAGAGCTGCTATTCACAACAGGCCTGTTATAAAGTCTCTTCAAAGAGAAAGTTGAAAGGTCACAGTTTGCGAGTAAAGCAGTTTAGCTTGACCTTATTAGTATTTCCAAACTGTATTAAGAACATATTCTAGTAATTCTGCTGTTTTTCATCCTGACTGAAATCAAACCTTGCAAGTGACTGGTGTTGCTAAACTAATTACTCAATAGTCAGCATAAAAATACATAACACACACAAATATTATTCCATCCTTATTATTTAATATTATTGAGTCATTTTTTTATTTAATCTATTATCTATTTATATGCTCAGATTGTTTATGTACTAGTCAGATTTTTTATATATGTGTAAGTTTATATATATATATAGTTTTAAATTTCTATAATCATTTCTGTAATTTATTAGAAATAAAGCATATATATACTATATTACAATTATAATATATTATAAATATGAATACATTTTTATATATATATGTGACCCTGGAGCACAAAACCAGGAATATTTATAGATAGCTAGATAGGTATACAGATATAGATATATATTTATATATATTATTTAAACATTTAATAATGCATTATTTTCTTATTTTTCCCTAATATATAATTTTCATTTAATTTTGCAATTTTTTTATTTTTTTTTATTTTTTTATTTTTTTTTTTTTAGAAAT